CTCTCCGAATAAGCGTCCGTTGCACTTTATTCTCTATGTATAGGGAAGCACACGATCGTTAGACACTTTTAATTCCATACTTAATAATGGCGGAATGAAAAAGATCTTCCTCTGAAATAATAAACGGCAACTAATTATTTCAGTTTAGGAAGAATTATTTATCAGACGCAAGGCGGTTCGATTAATTTTAATTGTATCCATTACGCGACATTCCTTTGGCAGTGAAATATTTAGCGTCATTTTTTAAATTTTCTATAGATGGACTTCTAGTTGTTGATCTGGTTGTTGTGATTAAACTTCTGCGATATAATTGAATTAATCAGGATAGTATCGCAGGGAATAAAGACCATGTGAGATGTTAGTTTGTAATTTCTAGACGAAGCGTACGCTTGGCAATTTCGTTATGGCTAATTAAACTTTGTTAAAACGGATTTTGATGCACACGCGCAAAATAGAATATACAGCTCACGTTTGTTGCGTACAAAATTGTTTAACAGTGATCGTGTGTAGCTTGCTGATTACATGAAATTAAATTGTTTAATAAATCTGCATTATAACTATTGACAAAACGGAAAAAAGTAAAACATAAAGGAGATCATTTTTTTCTCTTAATTCTTTTTCGTTTTGTAATCCTATTATAATTTTCAAACAAAAATTATATTTATTGATTTTCTGTCCCGCGGTTGCTACATTTTTTTTTTTTTTAATTTTTGATACCGAAACCTTTCCTGGCTTGCGCAATTTTCTTTTGCAAAATTGCTTTTTTCATGCGATGCGTGAGTTACGTGCGAAAATGAAAATGGAAACTGTACGCACAATGTAAACGTGCGTCTAGACGACCTTCTGTATGCATGTACCGCGGATTTGTAACATTGGAGTCTTGTATAACCGTGTCGGCAACGAAAATTACATGTAACCGCTGTTTGAACTGCTGCTGCTGCTGAATTTGACCGCTTGTCAGCTACTTTCAATTACACGCTTTCCACAGCTTGTTGCGAAACCAGAGTTTCGGTGCGAATTCGAGAACAAAGCTATCGGTTAAGCCTAGGTAAACGGATTAGCACTTGGAGAAACACGAATGGGAAAGTAAGCACTTTCGCGCCTTTCGATTTCGATGCTTGGGATTTTTCGGCTTTATTTCGTTTCAAATACAACAAAGTAGAGATTGTTCAAATACGTTTTAAACTGCTCACTCTGCCCTTCCAATTCACGCATCATGTGGTTTTTAAAGTTGTATAGAAATTTACTAAAACGTACATTAATATTGGATTAAGCGCATTCGAAATTAAACGGATTATCAAATTAATTTGGATTTCTAATTACTTTGTTAAGAGAAATCAAAAATATTAAGATATTGTAAAAAGCATTGTATTTTTTTTACGAAACGGTATAACAATATCTCCTTGTTCGTTATTTATTTTTATTTTGACAGAATTATAATTTGAATTATAATACAATTTTATTTGTTGAGATATTTGCATGTTAAAAGGGATGCTAAAAATGTCTTACATAATTGAATCTTTGTTAAAGAAAAGTTCATTCTGAATTGATCAAAGACTTCGTTGATGAAGCTTCGTCGAAGATTGTCGAACAACTTGTATAAAACTGCGCGTTGGATCGAGTCGGGTTTCCCCGGCCTGGACTGTCTCTCTATAATTACAGAGACTAACGACGCGATTTTGTGCGTGTCGGTGAAAAGCGATGTTCCCGCTCGCGCAACTTCGCGAGATTGATTTTCTGCAATTAAAGGACAGCCTTAACGAGTTTCCGCTGAAACGGACTGCTTTTTAACGACTATACCGCGTGCTTCTCGGCCGATGTTTTGCACGTCTTAAAGGACTTCCAAAAGCCTTAATATTACCCGAAAAGATTGCTATCTTTTCACTTACATTTGATCAGCAATGCCCGTTGGGACTGTTTGACATGCACTAGAAGGGAGTGGTTTAAAGAGGAAACAGAGGGAAAGGAGTTTTTTGAAGTCCATCCACTTTATTAAAAGCCTGATTTTCCTTCCGGTCATTTGATCTCGAGGCAAGAGATGTGTAACGTTCTTTCTCAAAAGGGAGCTCATAAATGACGACAAAAAAATGGCGAACGACCTGAATAACAAACTATTCAAAGGGGATATCTTTAATAAGTAAAGCGGATAACCATCCTCTTCTCTCTCTCTCTCTGTCTTCCTTTCGCATTCATTCTCACTCAGCTTAAGACGCGACTTTCAAGGTAATTAAAAACCCTCGTGGCTAAATTGCGATCTCGGTTAATTGCGCGATTGCAATTACGCGCTGCACGCAACGTACTGAATCCGGAAGCGGATTATATTAAAAATGCATGCGTCAAAGAGTCGCATGTGTTAATTAATTCACGTTCGGAACGTTATCGTGAATTAAGTTGAGCCTCTCAGTCGAGCTTTCGCGTTCTTCACGCTGTGGTAACAGCACGCGATCTGCCATAATTTCCGGCCAGACTGCCAGACGTCGTTCGCCTTTTCGACGCCAACTACAATGCTCGTTACGCGCGGTTTTATCGTTCGTTGCTTGTTTAATAAAATTCGCAAAAATAAAAAAACAAAAAATGGATTTACACTCTGTCAAAAATAAAAATTGATACCGCACTCTACGTGTCACAAATATAGGTGCGTCAATTTCGGAAGATTGATGTACGTGATACGCGTCAAGTATTCAATACCTGGCGCGAGAATATCCGTTCCATCGCTAATCGGGCGTTTGTTAAACCCTGCGTCACCGATTACGAATAGTTTCTAATGCGCCAGCGAATCGCCGCTCATCGATTATGCCCTCACGAGAGAGCCGCGTGCTAGCGAATCGTCCGCATATACGTCAATCAAGTCGGTTGAATTCACATTAGCGTTAAATGTACACGCATCGCGGTTGTGTCTGCGCACCGACACCGATCGCGCAAGTATTCCCGCGCCTATTAATATCAAGACTCGTCGGACGAGAACAATAAAATCTCTGGGCGCAAGTATTTCAGATCGATACGATAGATGGACAAGTTAATGAATGAATCTGACTAATTGGACGAAGGAAATAACGTTTGCGGGAGAACAACATTTCAATCACACTTTCTGATTATTCTGATATTTATGAGAACCTTTTGAAATGTGTCACTTTATAAGAATTAATTATTAGGCGATATATATATTTGTGCAGTAAATTAATCTTTTCATTAAACTAACTCATTAATATAATATAATGAATGTTTAAATCACACTTTTCATCTTCGTATTCTTTTATATAATTTTAAATATTTAAATGCGTGGGTGTGTCATCTCTCGACACTTTTTCTCGTGTCACTATTATTCACTTCTTGTAAGATTTGCATTTATTTTCGCGTTGCTTGGTAGAACGTCTTCGAAGAGGCGATTCGCGTTACCCTTTGCAAAATATCGTGTGATTCCCCGTGGTTTTATAAAATAAAATCACTTCTCCTGCCGGCAAAACAATCGCTGCGGGTGTTCGCACATCGCATTCAATTACATTTTCGAGCCAATGGCGCAAAGCGAGTGAGTGCTTTTGTCTCCCTTGCAGCTTTGTGCATCTCTCTGATGCGCGTCGCATCCTGCCGCGTTCTGATTGCAAGGATTCCGAATGCGTAAAAACGAGAGAACGTCGACGATGGTCGTTATATTAATGTTTGGCTGATCCCGATGACCGGCAAAGAGCGCGAGGTTTTTGATTATTCATCAGCGTGGGTGATACATAATCCTCATTATCGCGCTTCTCGTCATCGCTAGTCGTCATTGTCGAAGCGTGCGCCGGGGTTAAACCTCTCGCATGTGTTTCCGCGCATTAGCACGTATGCCATGATCCCGGTCCCGCGTGGTGTGCTCGAGCAACCACCGCACCATCCGAGCGATTATCCCGGATCACTGACTATGAACCGACAATTAGCGGCGCGAGACTTAAACGCGATCCCGCGCGACGTTACCGAAACTCGCCGCGAATTCTCCGTGCGGGCGTACTTCCACAAGTTTCATCCGAGTATGCTGGCTGCGATTCGGTCAAATTGACGTAGTCTCCGCCCGCGTAATTACTCCGAATCGCTATGAGCGATAACCGGAGCGAACGTTACGTAATTTTGTACAATTTCACTCTGATACGAAAATTCTGAATCCGGGAAGAGAGAAGGATATTCGCGATATGATTTATACTTTTATCAAAGCGCGAATCAAGTTTTATACGCGAATCTCAACTCGTGCGGTTGGATTTTAAATTTGATTCATATTACCATTTTAAATTTTACTTTTATTATTTTATTAATTTCCAAATAAATTATTCCTCATAAATTTGTTATACATTTTATGAAATTTTATAATTGCACATGTATTCTTGCGAAAGATGTTTGATCTAGATTTTTCATATTTAATGTAATACACTCTATGCATAAAAGAAGACTGATTAAGGACGTTGTATTGGTTCCAATTAGTATTTTAATATTTCCCTCGAGTATGTGTCCCTCATTAATTCGCGATTAGTAATGCAAGACCGCGCGCGCTGATTAGAAGTAGACGGCTCTGAAAAAACTCGCTTCAGCTTGCCTCGCGAAGATTCTTGAGACTCGAGCGTAGAGGAACGGGAATTTCTTGCGATACCGCACATTTGTTTTTATGAAACGCTAATATCTATTCCGCCAGACACTATATACTCCTTTACGAACAAGTTAATGGCATCGTAAGCGCGCTAATTGCGAAAAGGCAAGGAACCGAGGTGCGGAATTTTATCAGGGCCGAGGATCATCTTCATAGAGCTATATTAATTTCAACGATTCAATAAGTTCCTCGAGTGAGCGCGAAAGTGGAGGGACTGTATCAGATTTCATCGCTGACAAATTCAATTACGCAGATTAGTCCCGCAAGAGCACTTTATCTAGAACCCCCGCAAGAACGCGATAAGTTCCTCCTCGACGATAAGGGTGATGTTAGACGACTTGAACGCTCGCCGACGCTCTGCAAAATCTTAGATGAGATTTTAACGTACCTTGGCTGACCGCGATCGCTTCGATAACCAGCAGAAAACCAGCGAGTACCAAGACGGCGAGCCAGCGACACAGCATTTTTAACACCTCGAACGCTGCACTGCCGATCCTTGCTTGTTAATCCTTACTCCGATATTCACTCTCGTGAGTACGACGCGTACTCATCAATCCGTACGTCTACCGCTGCGTCAGCGCACTTTGCAACGTCTTCACTCTATCCTTTACAGTGAAAATTCAGTTTTCTGCCGAATCCCTTCTTGAAATAGCAGACACACTTAACTTTATCTTTCGAAAATTATGCACCCGTTCAATACGAGCAATTTAAAACTCGTACATGCCCCTGAAGATGTCTCGATACTCACTACACGATTAATGGCTTGATCATTAATAGCTGTGAAAATTTCACCGATCCGTGGAAAAATTCCGCAGCCACGGAGATAAATCCTTACACAACGAATTGCAAATGTCGTAAATCCTCGATAAACGGTCAAATCCACGATAACAAGGTTCCGGGCGCTCACAGATGATGCTTCGCGACCGCTTTCGCGCGTCTCCGATGACAGCCGCGCTCACGTGGAGTCTTCGCTAGGACGAGCGTCGCGACGCCGGGCCCGCGAGTGCCCAGTCTCAGGCGCAGCATCATCGTCTCCGGCGTCGGAATCGCATTCGAATCGGGGCTCGCGATCGAGAATCGGGGCTCGAGATTTAACTCGCGCGACTCTGCCGGACGATCGTCATCGTACGCTGCCCCTTCGGACCGAGGTTGCCGTGCCGCGTCGTCGCCCCTCGTCGCCGTCGTCGTCGTCGTCGTCCCGCGCGACGACGTTGAACCCTCATGGACCAGCCGCCGGCGCGGATGAGGCCTGCCGCACGGCGTCGCGGCGCGAAATGATCCTGCGGGGGACGCTCTGCCGCGGCGCGCCTGCGCGATGACTTTGCTGCGTTCGCCGCGGATAAAGCGCGGACCGGTTACGCGCAGACCGCTTTCTCTTCCCCTCCCTCCGCCGCCCCGCGTCTCACCCTCTTTCTTTCCCGGCCCTCCCTCCACCCCCGCGCCGGGGGATGACCGCCGCGAGATCGGGAGTGCATAGGAAGGCACACATACAGCCCGAGGACCTCCGTCTTGTCGATTCCGTGGCTACCCCCGGGTGGGAATTATGATGTTGTCGCCGCTGACGGATCGACGAACTTTGCTCATATTAAATGTCGATTATTGCCGGCTCTCGCGTAACTCTCGCTTCGTATCAAGCGTATCTCAGACGCGCGTGTCAGCTGATAATTTTATCATCGGTCTTTTGGGAATTTGAGAAAGGCAAATGACGGAGGAAAATGCAGAGTACAATTTTATAATGGGACGCGCTTATGATCGTGCAAATGTGAGCTTTGTGTTCTAATAAAGTACGTCGATAGAGTTTCTTAAATTGAACGGACTACGGAAGGGATCATCTTTTTCTCTGTTTGTCAAATCGAATTAATACAAGTTCATTAGCACCCAGCATTTGACGAAACGTTCTCTCCTCTCTCAAAACTGTTCGCGTCGTATCACGGTCATTGACCTCCAAGAGTCGGCGAGTACTTGCCAAACTGCAGCACATTGGTAGCGACGTGTAACGTGTTCCTGTTTACAGAAACTTATCGACGTGAATATCGTTGCCAAGTATGCGCCGCAGGCTCGCCTCGACCGACAATAACTGCTATTAATGTTAGTGCGAGAGGTAGAAAGCCTCGATTGCGAGCGCTATATCGGTGTAAGGGCTTACAGAAGCCGGATGATCTATGAGTGCTTTATTCAAAAGCTTGGCAATCCGCGGATCAGCGAATCTGCGGAATCACGGACTAATAGTTTCTCTATTGAAAGTGTTTTCAAATCGCAGATTTCTGGAGTTATAGAACTGAACTTTCGTAAAGCTAAGAACAACACTTTTATTGCTCCAATTGCAATTTATTTATTTTTCGCGATTTGTTCGCATTGGGAATCTATTAATGTAATTTCTTCCTCGCGGAATTATAATTTTATTTATCTTTATTTTTTTTACGTGTGTAAAAAATGTAAATTATTAATCAAACTTCATTTTTTCTTGAATTTACAGATTAGCCTAAATGATATCAGCCTTCGATTATCGAAGAGTTAGTTGTGATTGTAACTCGTGTTATATTTTCATTTGTGTAACCAAGATATATTGACTGCGCGAAAGTATTTATCGTGTTTGCAAAGAATTTAGCGGATTTTCGCAACTTAAGAAAATATCGGATATCCGCTCAGACTTCTTATTTTCTTTTAAACGGTTTGTCACTCTGTTTAGTTCATAGAACGGGCTTTTCCGGGCTTCGTAGGTTCCATCGAAACATGTTGGGGAGCTTTAGCGATTTCACGTAAAAGGAATACGTGCCAGCGCGTGCTTTCAGATGAGACGGGATCGATCGGATGGGATCTAGAGCAAAATGTTCCGCCTGTTACACGTGTATACACGTATACCCCGTATGTGGCGCGGCATGCCTATGGTGTGTCGGCCTTCATTGTCGGATGGTATTTGTTCGAGTTCACGATCGGTACACCAAACGATTCGCGTTAACGAGAATTCTGCGTTGATCTTACGGGCAGAATAATATATGAGGGATCTATTGAGTTGTATGGTTGATGTGAATTGAACGTTGTTATATCAATACACTTTGTGGTAATTTAGCAGTGCACAGGTAAATTGTAATGTGTTGTATTCAATTTTCTTCGCGCGTTATGCGGGCTAATGACATATCGATCGCTATTATTATAAACAAGAATACACACTTTTAGATATATCTTTTAGATATATCCCTAAAATATCTAAATTTTTTATTTTTTTTTTAGTATTTTTGCAAAGTCTCAGAATAGCTATCATGCTATGCTGCTGTCTCAATGTTTCCGTTTATATTTGACTTCAGAGATCTCCTCTAAGCTTTGTAAAGTTAATAATACGTTCATTTTCATCAGCAATAAAATCTTATACCCGAGAGTATATTTTTCCATCGCTCTCTCTTAATTGCAATGCGCGAAAAATGTCTCGTGCAGTTTCGAGGAAGTATTTAATCACGCTCAGCTAATAAAAAGAGAGATCATAACAATTAAATTGATATAACTATGCATAAAGAAATAATATATTTAAGATGAAAATGATAATTTTGTGACAGATTTAACAAGTTGAGTATAAAGTTTTAGATGTTTGTCTCGTAAGATGTAACGGGATTAAAGCCATTCTCTCCTCCTTGTCTACGGTACAATATTATTATGCTACAGGGATTTATTCATTTTGTTTATTCACGTTAATAATTGTTGCGCATATTCTGTATATAAAGTTGTGCCACGAAGTCGAAATTTCAAGCCGGTGACATTTCGCGTGCAGTATAACTTTGCCAACGTTTGCTAAATATTTAGTTGACATACATCCGTTTGCATAATGCTCAAAGATCCACCCCCAAACCGCAAGAGCCGAATTCCCAGCATGCGTGTAACGTCGAATGTAAGGATGCCTCAGTCTAATCCCTCGCTGGCATCGCGTACATAAGCAACCGGTTATATCTGCAGAACTCAAAACCGCATTTAGCGTTAAACACGTGTTGGGAACACGGGAGGGGGGTTTAGCATGTTGTCGTGAAATTGCAGAACGTATTAAGCCCGATTTGTTGGAATATCCAACATAGATCAAGATTTGCTCTCAGTGGCGTTTCTCATAATTTAAAGTCAATTAGAGTAACACTGATAGTAGAAATAAGTGCTTTACGTTTCACAATTAATCGCGATGAAATTGTCACAATTTACAGCAGTATAAAATTATAGAAATGTCATAATAATTCAAATACTTGTAACAAAGAAATTAAACTAATTATATATGATTGATTTATTAAAATGGAATATATTTCTCCGAAACGATGAAATAACATGTAACTTCCTAATTGATTGCTTGATAATATATCTCTTGAAATTTGCTACATACAATGTTCACATTAAATGATATATTTATCATGTTGAAATTCTGCAGAAAATATATATTTGAAATATATATTTGTGCTAGGAAATTGCAAAAGATTAATTGCACTCAATCGTTATCGACAAACTATCATATTTATTTATTTGCTTTTGCACATACACGCACATATATCCGAAGCATGTATATTTCGATCTTTTATTTAAACAAAATTACAACATAGTTACAACACTCTGAGATTGTATTGACATAAATTACGAAATAACTTGTCGAACATATTTGCACAATATCAAGCCGAGAACGCACTGTGTTATTCTCGAATCGTCTGTATGTGCCCTGTGCGAATATAAATTCAGTTTTTATTTACATAATCGTTGGAAATTTAACGCGCGCAAAGTTTTATCGCGATGGGAAGGCCCGGGGTATTAAGTTCGATTTTAGCGTTTATTATTTAAATTCGAGTCGCTGCGACCACTTGGTAAACAAACGGCCACATTATTGCCTCGAGTGCTCTAAGCTATATTACTAATTATCTTTTACGTATCGGCGAAAAAATAGAACCACTGATTGTGCGCACTTGTATTGAATTGGATAACGCTTTCGATATTTTGCACGATGAATTTTACAAGGAGGTTACACAATGGTTACATTCGCAGCTCATTGATACTTTCCATATACATGGATGGATATCTATGGACGCAGGCATTTTGCGTGTCATATCAATTATTGATTTTCGTCCGCTGCAAAATATTATGTTCGAAAATCAGCAGTGTTTTCGATAACTTTTATTTCATTTCGGACAGAGAAATTCATGTTGAGATTCGAGACGATATAACTAGTATTTTTAATTCTGTTTTTTATTGCGCATAAAACGATATCGATCTTGTCGGGCGAATTTTTATTTATATTTAAAATGAACATATGAAAAAGAGCAAAGACATATATTGATAAAGAGCGAAAAACCTATATTCTGTTATAATTGCATATCGTCGTTCCACTTTTTTTAAATTTTTTACATCCGCTCCGGACCTTGCATACTTATCGATACTTTTGATCTCGTATTTTCGCGTTGCCGCTTTGCTTTCGGCATACTTAAAAAATGCAACGGCTCGTTAAGAGTTCAAGGCTAGGGGATATTCTTCATATTATGCCATCTCATTTTCCTGTTATCAGAATTTCCCGAGTTTTTACGGCGGTTGATTTAGTGCCGTAACGAGCTACCCTTTTGTGAGACGTCTTCTCATGCTAAACACCGCTATTTCGCCGGCAGCTAAGAAATCGCGGCTTAAGAACCAACCCGCAAGTTCCCACCGCATTCCACGGCCTCAATGCTGTAAGTGATATCGATTTTCTTGGCGTGCCGTTTCCGCGGTGTAAACGGGCTATTACCTTCAGTACGTCTTCTTTAACCTCCCATAATGGCGGGTGATATTGCTCTTTTATGGTTGTATAGTTTTTGTAACAATTATACCGTACCGTTCGTTCTCTCTTTTTCCCGGGGAAAAAAGGAATCGATTTTCACTCGATTTGCATTAATAGTTTCAGCAAGGAAAGATATGGTTTATCCAGTGATCACATAATTTCAAGATTATGTTTCTTGTATAATTCTGCTTTATCAGAGCCTCGTCCGATTTATGTCATTTTTTTCCATGAATGTCATCTCTAATGAGAAGTAGTCGCTGTAATAAGGTGTCAAAGTGCGCCGCGAGTTTATGGGGCAACTTTCAACCAGCCGACAATCGTCAAGTGATTTATCGGGGCGCATTGGAATCGCGATCGACGCCATGACTTACGACCGACTTTATCAATATTGAAATAAGATTAATTCGTCGGGAGTTGGAAAGTAAAAATCGGGGACGAAGTGAATGCGGCACAATTTAAGTTTTCAATGCGGAAGCACGACGTAGAATCGGG